GGTAGAGCCAGTAGAAGAAGAGCCTTCCACAATGCAGATGGACTCATGCACACTAACTGCTGTTGATTTGGTTCGAAAACCTCGTAATAGATGGAGACCTCCCTATTGATTTCATGGATCATGTATCTGTCAGTGGCGATGATAGGGAGAATCACAGAGACGTCCCTGTATCTGGTGAAGAATCTGCGGTTCCTATGGACTTCCAAGTTGGAGATCATGTAGAGCCCGATGCTACAATGGACGTCAGTGAACTTGATGACACAAGCGGGTCACGAAGAGTGGGAGGGAAGCCAACGTCTGCCGAAACCTCTGCTGAACCTCCTGCCCAAATTAATTCTCTGCTGACCAGCCGCGCTGCGGATGTAGTTGTAACAGAAGAAAGCCCAATGATGGTCGACGAGAGCGAACCAGCAGTCATCGAGAGGGACGGATCCAACGGCAGTGAGGAAAGAGTATGTTTTCGTTTGCGATGTTCTCATAGGGTACCTTTTCCATTGGAAGTTCCTTCATTTTTTTTCAGGAGAACGACGGTATTACACAGAACGATGGCACGCTTCCCGAAACTGCAGCTGAGCTCTCTAAGGAGAAGGAGGTGTCCGTTCCATGCACGACTGAAATGGAAGCTAATAATGATGAAAGCGGAAAGTCTGAGTATGTTTTCATGAAGGCTACAAGTATTTGTGGTCAATTCTAAAAGTTTCCCTTTGAGTCGGTCGACATCAAAGCCACATTTGGCGGATGACACCAAACGAGCTATTGGTTTTGGTCGACGTCTGCGCGTTGACTTGGAAGAGAGGTTGACCCCGATTCACCATCATGAAGACGGGGAGACGGTAGGCGTCACCTTCATGGTTATTTTGTTCACGTGAAAGAGATTGACATTACGAGATGACGTATATCGTTATTCACTGTATTCCCTGGGTAAAGTCTTTGAAATCGCTCCTTTGTTTAGTCGATTCCGCCGACATCCACTGAGAAGACGACCTACGAGCAATCCGTCAAATCGGCAACGGCTGTGTGTGAGGAAAGTTCTTCGCTACAATCGCATGAATCACATGGAGATGACCAACTGAGTGTGGCGCTGAAATCATTGACTGTGGAAGCTACTCCGGAAAAAAGTTCCGATTATTCTGAGGTGCCTTCTACTAACTCATCGACTAAGCGACAGCCCGCTGCTCGTAGTCGTTTGTCAGGTATGAATACTTTGCAAGTGGCTTACACAAGATTTCGATTATAAACGGGAATTCACTACTTTAATAAAGTCGCTGGGATGGTTCAAAGGAAAAATTTCCATCTGTTGGAACGCATTACCGTTTTCGTTGACGTTTTACTTTTTACTGCTAAGTAAATTCGGTTGGAACGGCTTTCTTGGTGTAAGAGTTACCCAAAGGATTATTCCCGTAAAATCAACATATCAATAGAATTCGAAGCAGATATTTCATAAGCCCATATCTTTGTGGTGAAGACTACGAAGAGATCCATGAAAGTTGCGATTACAGCAAAGGATCGTGATCTGGCCATGCAACTGTACGCTCAACTCAATCCTCGATCTTTACGCTCTCGTAGAAGTTCGGAGAGTGATTCCCATGACTTGGAGGTGAGTGTTTTCATCTTTGCTGAATTGAATAAGCATTTATTAGGTTGGCCAGATTGAAATGTCGTTTTCGATCATCAATTATTTTCATTATAAAAACAATAATGAAGCACATCAACCTGAACCATCTCCTTCACCTGTGTCACAGGCTCATCACCTTTCGTTACGCAAAGCATGGATGCCTACCGCGTAGAACTCTTTCTGGTTCGACTCAAATTTTGACGTCGTCGCGGTTATCGAATTGGTTTGCTGCTAAGGAGTGTTGCGCTGACCTGGGTCAGTGATAGTCGGACGGCGCCAGACCTGGGCTATATGGCGCTGGAGGTAGAGCGTCCCAGCCCAACTCCTCGATTTCTTGTTGCGTGATTTTCACGACATGTGGTCTTCCATTATGGTGCAATAATTTTTCATTGGCCGAATTACCCTTTGACGACGCAGAGCTCGGCCCACGTGGTGGAGCTGTTATACGCAGAGTTCAGCTGTAACTGTATAACCCACAATCAGCATTCCGTGGTACACCGTTGCTATACTATATCACCATATAAAAACATGACTTTGTTTCCGTGGATGTCTGGTTTCGAAGTCACCCTCAGCTGTCCATCAGCCGCCAACCACGGTCGTCTTTTCGCGTTGTTATTGGGAAACATCTCTTTGTAAAATGCGGTCAACACGAAGTCAAGAACCTTTTTCCTCTTGAAGTTATGGAGCGAAGTTCCAGTATTGGCAACCAGTACTGCTTGCTCGCGTCGCTCAGAATAGGCCGAACCCATTTTCTATCCTGAAAGGCCTTAACAGTCGCACGTAGGAACTTTAAATTTTTCTGTTGACACAACTGAATCTCCATGCAAGTTTTGTGCGGTTTGTCGAGGACTCGTTGGCTTTCTTTATTTCTCCGTCATCTAGAGCTAGAGGTCAAAATCCACGATCTTCGTCCAGGTCCTTTACCTCAGTCTTGGAAGAGCTGAAACCATAGCTGAAAGTGCATCAGAGACTAAGTGTTACTGCTCAATGTTTTGCACACAATGAGTGTAATTCGTTGGCCGTTTTCCCTTCTGTTGATTATGTTTAAGTTGAGAAACAATGGCACAAACGGAAGCGACATTTCTTGTCAACCTAATATAGTTAAGAGTTGTATTGACTCCTGTCCCTCACAATCTAGGCAACCTAAATTTTCTAATTTGTGTTTTATTAATTGATGATATATGACTTTTTGCTCTCATGCATTCAAATCTGCATATATACCTACAGTTTTTCTTCTCTTATAGAGCGTTTCCCACTCAAAACAGGATGTTTCGAAGAAGCCTAGAGCAAGAATGACGAGAACACGTGAGTTTTGCAAGATTTTTTTTGCTCATCTTTCAAATTCTTCAAATTTGTGAAGAAACCCAAATGCGGTTTCAATTCCATCTATTTTCGGACTGTTTTTTTATGTACATGGTTTTCAAGTGAACATCTATTCTGCTTCTTACTGCTCAAAACTCCATGAAGTTTCCATTTATTGAGATTAAATTGATTAAAAGTCCACTTGCTTCTGATGACATGGTTCAATCGGTGATTCGAATGAGATAGGTTGTTGGTAGAGATGGCTTATGGTTGGGAAAGGATCCAGGCATCACTCACAGCACTCTTCGGGGATTTGGCAAATAAGAGTATCGTAAAATGGGAGGAAAGGGGATTACATGCGAAATTCACCTTCAATCTGCGTAAGGCTAGTGTCAGAGTCCGCGATCCGTCGCAGGTTTCGCTGATTTTCGCGATTTCGCGATTTGCGCGATTCACGCGATTCACGCGACGGGTCACGGAAATCACAAGTGCCCGATCAATACTGCAAGGTGTTCTCCAATCCTGCCGCCACTTCTGCTTGATAGTGATGGCTGAATGACGACTGCTCATGATTCCACTTGTTTCATATTCAGTGTTTCAAATGTTCAAATGGGGCACTTGCAATTTTTGCGATCCGTCGCAGGTTTCGCGCAAATCGCGAAAATCAGCGAAACCTGCGACGGATCGCAGACTCTGACACCAGCCTAGTCGTAAGAGAGAATGAATTAGCGCCCTACGAATCGTTGCAAGATCAATTCATGTAACTAGTAATGGAAGGTTTATGCTCATGTTCATGTTTCTTCAGGCAGGACTTGTTCTCGAATAAAAAGTGATTGTGCGCTCCATACGCTGAATTTTTTTCTGTGTTTTTCTTTTTCTGAAGACACATGGATCTCTGTGGAGGATAGAATTTTTCAGAATCTGATTCACCACAACTCTCAACAGAAACAAGCGAGATGGCGAAAACTGAATCGACGATGTAATTTTTTTTTCAATTTTTCTAGATCGTGGTTCTTGGAAATCTATTAGGTTATCTCATTAAAATCACATCTAGAGAAATGGTGAGGGAAGTAAAAAGGCTAGATCTTTGCTTGCTTTTATTTCAAAGCTAGCACACATAGCTACGATATTACGGTATCCTCCAATGTAGTTGAAATAACTGCGGAGAAAAACATTTAAAACATAAGAGAACCTCATAGTGACCAAATCGAGGTGGAATTTTCAAATGATTGGTGACACACGTAAAATTCGCAACTCGAATTCTCTGTGTGCTGGCTCAACTTACGCGTGATACAGTGTTCTCGAAGTGCTACGTTGAAGATATGGTGTGAGAGCTCAAAGAAGAAATACGAATCAATTGTGCTTGAGTCGTGCTCATATTCAAGTACTGTCCATGCTTATTGAAAAAAAGAAGCTACTCACTGTCCAGTGTTTTCTAGACGCTGGGATTGAGTCGTCGTCAACAACGACAAGATCTGCTTGACTTCACACCAAAGTATTAGCTTTTTATCTTTCCTGCTGTTCATTTTATTCAAATAAAACCTTCCCACATGTTTGAATGAGATGACCTAATATGAATTTTAGGAAACAACGAGAGAAGACGACTGAGGTGGTCGCTGCTAGCACGTCTGGTACAACGCCAACTAAGGAGAATAGAGAACGCGATGAAAAGGCGAAAAAAGCAGAGACACCGAAGGCGACAACCAGTGACTTTTTCGATGATATTTTGGCTGGTGCGCGATGTGCGCCATCTCAGGAAAAGGATATGGTCACAGAAGTGTCGACTCCAACGAATCCTCCAGTGGCCAACTCAGATCTTGTCGATGACATATTAGCCGGCGCACGTTCAACAACGACTTCTGAAGGAAGGAGCGTGAAGATCAAAAGAGCTCAAACAACGAGAAAAGTGCTTCCTTCCCGTAAAGTGGACACTGCTCCAGAAGGTATGGCGACAGAAAAGGGAATCCACACTGAGTCCACCTCTTCACGGGGGCTCGAACGTGGTGATTCTGCTACTACTTCAGATGTGTGTAAAACGGATCCTACCAAAAGCCTCGCTGATCGATCTGAGCCGTCAGAAGTTTCGGACGAGCTGCAACCTCATCCGTTGGATCCTTCATCTAGCAGTGAATCCCTTGTAGATAAGGGTGCTCCTGATTCTGCGCCTGCAGCTCGCAGGATTAGAAAGAGCTCTACTGGTAAACAAATAGCGACAAATGTTGAGGTAGAGGGACACGCACAAGAGAAAGAAATAGCGCCAAAGCAGTTGGAATCAAAGGCGAAGACACGTGGTAGGCCCAGGAAGGTTATTATGCCGGGAACGTCATTAGAATCTTCTGCGAGTGAGGAGAAGGTTTCATCCAAAGGCATGTTATCACCTACGCTGCGCACTCGTGCAAGTGTGCTCAAAGTGGATGCTATCAAGAAGGCTTCGGAGAAGAGTTCACCTTCTCGAGAATCAGTGAGAGCAGTTGCAACGGTAAGGTGGTATAATAGTTGACTTCTTAAGGCAGAACTCACGCATGATCTTTCGTTTCAGAGGAAGCGGCGCTTAGAGGAGGTCAATGCCGTCGAAACTTTCCCAGCGTCTCAAAAACCAGCAAAGGTTTGCAGTTTCATGATTTTCCTGTTTTTCAGCCAAGTATGTGCTTTTTCAGGTTCCACCATCGCTTCAAGGAAACGACGGCAAAGCTATCGAGAAACCGCTTGGAGACGGTCCGCCTTCTCGTGTAACCAGGAGATCAGGACCAACGGCACCAGTAAGATGTCTAATAACTTCGGAGGTAGTACATATTTTTGAGGTAATATTTAGAAGAGGCAAATTATGGACGAGGAAATGGCTAGCAAGACAGATGGGGAGCCGAAAAAACCGGCAGTGGTTGGTGTTTCTTTTGATTTTTTTCTCGTGGTTGCATGCACTAGTTAGGTAGTGATGTATATTTGGGGATTCTTGGGGCAAGTCTCCCAGCTTTCCACGCGCACAGTCGGTGATCAGTTCTTTTATCGCCGTTCAGGGATCAAGCCTTTCATCTTTCGAGGTTCGGATTGTAAGTATCAGGCTCTCGTGGAAGGGCTAGCACTGATTTGTTCATCGCGTAGTCTCCCTAACTCATTGTAAAAGCCAAATCGCACTCAGCCTGTCTTTACGATTCTCATAAAAAGGATTGCTGGAAGCGTTTTGAAAAAGATTTGATGAATTCTGAATTCTTTATGCTCTATGCTTTTTTGCGTGAAGCTTGCCTCTGCCAGAGAGTGTTAATTGCCTGGAATGAGAACTTGAGCAACGACTGTCTCACATATATTTTTATTGACCTGTCCGTATTCAATACTTAGTCGAATTCTATTGCGTGACGCATTGCAAAGCACAGATGGACATCGAACCGACCATCTGTTGCTCAGTTTAAGGCAAACGTTTAGTTTACGCTATTTACAGGTAGCTAAATTACCCAAGCAACTTGACGACAAAACAACAGAAGAGCCCCCGAGTGACGGTCCGCCTTCTCGTGTGACTAGAAGAACAGGACCAATAGCACCGGTGAGATTACAGATAAGTGATTTAAAATTTACTGGCTGTATGACAATTTGATGACATTTTGCAGAGAAAGCGCCGTATTGACGAAGGAAGCGTTGTTAAGGGAAAATCAGAGGCAGGTGAACCTCATAAGGTTGGTGTCCTTATTCTAGTTTTCTTGATTGCTCATACCCGGAAATCTTCCAGACCCTCACTTCTCCGCTGCAAGGAAAGGTTGCGACGGAAGCGGAGGTAAAAGAACATTGGCTGCTACGTTGTAGAGTACACTGCTAATGACGATGTTTTGCAGGAGGTGTGCACCTCGCAGGAAGACACTGATGATGAGCAGGATCGGCTGTGTGTAGCTGAAGACGAGGAAACCGTTGAAGCAGAGCAGCAACCTATGGCTGCACGAGATGTACGTGGTGATGGTGAGGCGCATTCCGCATCTGATGATGACGGTGAAGACCGCCTTGTGGTTGACGACGACGAAGATGAGCCATTGGCAGCAGATGATGGAATGGTTGGTTTCTATTATTATGTGGAAGGAATCCGGCTGTGGAGTATGCGATTGATTGTTACAGAAGGAGGCAAAAGAGGCGACCGTGGTTGAGAAACTCCATGATTCCGGGCCAGAAGATAACGTGCAAAGGAGCAGTCATATCCAAGCGGAAGCTGGCACATCCAGTGCGTCTGAGGAGTGCGGTGAGAGTGCAGATGAGGAAGCTCTACTGAAATCTCCACAGTCTGCTAGAAAAGGTGGATTTATGTTCTGCCTATTTTGGGATGCCTTATTGTATCCTTCCTGACTCGTTTGTCTTATGGTAATCTCAGCCCTTCTTCATATACATATATTTTTAGGTGTCAAAGAAAAAGCTAAAAAGCTGGAAGCCGTTCCCGCGGCTGCTACGCGTTCTGGGGCCTCTAAAACAATCTCTGTGAGTTTAGGTTCAATAGTAAAAAGTAAAAGCTAAGCTAAAATTAAATTTCTATTCTCAATTTCTGTTCTTAGAAAATCGGAGCTCTGGGTGCGGCAAAGCGTTCGGTGCCAGACCTAAAGGCCGGGCCAGCGGCCATGGAGAAATTCAACGCCAGATTGAGTAAGCAACTGAGGAGTGGCCGAGTGTCAAAGGTTGTGAGCCAGGTGAGCTACCAGTACCAGTTTCGGATTGAACAGTTGACACACGCTATTACGTCTACGGCGATGTGGAACAGTGCGGCCAAATTTCTCAAATTTAGCCCGGTCCACCACGAATACCTGCTTAAGTTGCTCCCAGGACTAGTTTCTATCTGCTTACTTCTTCTCCGTGTCATTTGGATCATATGACAAATTTGGACTTCAGCTCCGCTTATTCGCACGATTTACTTCTCAGAACCAAGTTATAATTTTTGTGACATACTCCACCCTCTGTGGTCACTTTCCACCCACAAGAGCATTTGAGCTCCCCTCTCGCCAACCTGTGCTCACTTTTCTCTAGTTCTCTGGACCGTTTATAAGTTTGTTCGCCCACCCACTCTACCACACTCCTTTACCAATATCGCTTGACCCCCTTCCCTTCGCCAACCTCTATCCATTTTTTTCCCGGTCTCCAAGACTCTTGAAACGAATTATGAGGGTTTGAAGGAAACAGTCTACATAAGGGCACGCTTCCCTCTCTTATGAGGTGACCTCCGCTCAGTCATGTATGCTAGGGACGCTTTAAACTCGGATTTTGCATCATGAGAAATGGCCTAGAACCCGGATGGGACCTTCTCCTTTCCCGTTGATTTCTGCGTTGATAGGGCTCTCATCGGTGTGCGGCCCTCTTCAACGCTAATGTTCTCTCTGCTGAACCGCTTTTTCGGAGAACGTCCCGTCCACCGTAGCGGGCCTCGCGAGTTTTATATGGCTCATCGATGCACGCTACTACCCGTTTTTCACCGATTTCAAAGCTGTTTTGGAATCAAATTTGAGATCTTCGTTGTCATGTTTGGATGCACGCCATGCCCGCTGCGGACGGGGTTCCGCTTAACTGATATGTTTTGTGTTTCTTGAGAAATGATCCACGCATAACAGTCGTTCTCTCAGCTTTTGGTCCCACCCGCATACGGTTGCGGCGCGCTGTGATAGATAATCTAATTTGTTTATACTGTTAACGTGAGGCTACTATTTCAATCGTTACACCTGTCATTAGTGATCGAGAGCAGTACTCCGATGTCATTTGCTTTTACAAGTCATGCTATTTGCAGAAAATCGTGCAGAAGCCAAGCACCTCGTCGTCGACTTCTGAGAAACACCCTGCGGTAACACCATCGTCAAAGAAAGTGTCCTCTATCCAAAGTGAGTTTGTGTAGGTAAATCTGAACTACTCGTTCCATCTTCCTGTGCTTTCAGAGGATTCACCTCAAGTTCATGAAACCACTGCTCCACAAAGCTCTCGAGTTAGTTTGGAGTCACCGCCTGTCGTGAAAAGAGGACAACCTTTAGGAAGTGTTAGTATTCTGTTTTTGCATATTTCTTTTATTTATTCTGCACTTCTGCACTTTTTCATCAAGAGGAACCCATCTGCGTCACAGTCAGGGTAAAGCGTGCGTTGAGGAATCCTCGACACGTCACAGGGGGGGGGTCGTATTGGCCCGCTGGGAGGAAGAGATCGGGCCGGATTGATGCAGTAGGATCATCGTCGGAGGACAAACATCAAGGATCGAATCGATGCCAGGCCAGAGGATTTCCAATAACAATGATATTCCGCCCACACAAAATTTTCGTGATTCAGAGGTGTCCGCGTAGCAATTCTTAGTTCAGTGTTTTATCACCACACAAGTTAAAGAATCCGAAATTCGCACGTTTTCCAAGGGATATTTTATCTTTCAAGTCCTCGAATCTGAAGGGATGTGAAGCACACGGCGCATCCCAGAGTGGGCCCAGTTGGTTGCGCGCGCTTCAACTACGGCTCTCTGGAGAAAGAATCTCAATTCAGGAAAAATCAAGAGGATTCTGAAAGGGTTCATGTGAAATTACAGGGAGGAGTACACTATTCAACAAGAAACGCAGCCTTCAGCGTCAAATTCACAAGCATGTAACCTTTAAAGTTGAGACCCGCTAAACAATTTTACACTTTTTGGAAAGAGAAAAGCACGAGGATTTTGAATCTGCTCCTACTTTAGTATGTAATGCTCCTGAAAGGTACCTTTCGGCGGTACTCGGGCAAAAATCCTCAACGTGGCCATTTTTTTTAAATACTGGACGTATTAGCAGTTCTAGTAACCGTTGAATAGAGCAAATCTTCTAGTTTATGATGACGTATTAACTTTTCAGATTGGATGAGTTTGAACGGAGTTATGGCTTTGGAAAGCGTAAAAACTCGCACTCATCACGAATTTTCCTCGTTAATTTTGCAAAAATCCTCAACGTGGCCATTTTTCGAATACTCCTCGTTAATTGATCTAAATTTGTTATTTCTTATAAATTTTTGTAATTTCAAGTACTGATTAGAAAAGAGCTCTCTTCACAAAACTCCCAAATCTGCTTTCAGATTGAAAATTCGTCATATTTGAAGAAAGTTATAATCATTTGAATATTTGTTCAAATTTCAATAGTAAATAAGCTGCTCCACGGTCAACGCCAAAGATCAGTCAACACACAGCTGGCTAAGGCGGTTACAAGGCTTCTTTCAAGCAAAAAGGGGACGTGTAAATGTTGGAAATGTTGAAGAAGAGCCTGAGTTCCTCTTCACTTCGACAGACTAACTACTCTCTTATTTTTACACGCTTAAAAATTTACTATTACTACGCGCTCAACTCGTTTCACAGACTCAAGAGGAACCGAAACTTGTTTTTACTGCTGTATTATGTACCTCAGTACCTTATTTTGGAGGTCTTTTACTTTTCTTTTGAAGTCACTATCTCTGCATCCTTTGTTGTTTAGTATTGCTTTCAGTCTCTACAAAAGCAGCTTCAAGGAGCCCTGTTATCAGAGCAGAAAATTGAAGTTATTAAAAAGAATCTGGCTGGCTGCTTGGATGAGATATCGAATATGCCACCGGAAGAGTTTGCTAAAGTCATGACTACGGTACGATAATTCTACTCGATTGATAATTAGTGCCATAAATATATTTACACCTACAGAGTTCTCTGTTATTGCCTTCTGGCGATATGTGGACTATTGTACAGAAAAATTTCCGGAATTGTGATTCCTCGGACATCCCTAATACAAAGGTGGGTATTCCAATATGTATGCTACATAAATTATTCTCTCGCTTATTTCTAAGTAGATGCATTTATCTTTGCATGTTTACTGTTTGAAATTCTTCACTTTACCCTTCAACTAACCACTGCTTTCACTGTTATTTCGTTCCTATTCACTAAAACTCGTTCAGGAGGACGCATTCCTTCAAATTTGTCGGGAGTTGGGCGGTACCGCAGAAATATGGTTGAGTTATGTGAAGTGAGTACAACTACTTTTCATAATATTGCTTTCACATGTTGTGGTTCTTTTTCAGGAAGATGACAATTGTTTTTTCCACCCAAATGCCGAACCCTATGTACACGGGGCGGTATATTCGACTTGTTCGTTCGTGCGCTGCGTGAAGCGGTTTCTTTTTCAAAACTTTATCTAAGTCTTTATCGTCCTTGAGCATCTCATGTTTGAATTTAGGGTGATCTGCTCAGTTGGGATGAGAAGAAGGGCTACCTACGTACAATCTTGACGAGGATTTTCCTAGAAGACATAGTACGTTTGATAGATGGTTAAGTTTATTTCTCATCATATACTAAAGTTGAAGTGACACAGCGCACAGGCCAATTGGTGACTCTCTAGAATGTGATAAATTAAAGGTTGCATAGAGTACCGCCGATAGTATAAAGTAGCCTAATTAAAGGCAGGCCTCGGGATAAAATAGGTGTGGAAGCTGGGTCGTGTGATGAGCGTAGAGGGTTGGTGTGTGTGGAGGGGAGGGTAGGAAGGTCTTCGAAATCGGGTGGATTGATCGTTCTTTCTTGTGATATGTGTGTTTGTCTCTTTAGTTTTGAGTCTGTTCTGTGGTGAGCGTGTGAAGATAAGAAGGGATTTGGACTCGATATTCACGACGGTCGTGCTAGTGGTAGTGGCATGATTGGCGACATGCTACGCTGCCGGGGACTGTGCGCCCGGCGCTTTTCGCGCGGCTGTGCAAGTCCGACATGTGCGAGGGAGTGTGTGTGTCGCGGTGGTCTTGAAGGGTGGATTTGGTTGGAAGAGCGGCTTTGCGCTTTGTCACGCAGTGTCGAACGCGTCAGGGCACGACATCAATGTTGTCGCCTGTTACCACCCCTAGGATTGAACGAGAGGTTAATCCCAGCGTAAATTCAAAGTTAGTGAACTGAAACGTGGGAAATTGTTGTTTTGTAGATGCCAATGTCAGTTATTTGTTAGTATTATCCAAAACCTGAACCATAAGTTGATTTTTTTTTTCAATTACTGCTCTCTTTCTTTCAAGGGAGTTGGCATAAAAGCGACCACGTTCGTGCTACTGTCTCCAAGTTATGGACTTTTGGACTGGATGAAGGACCGAAGTGATCCATTTCGATTTTCTATCTATTGGCAGGTGAGCGACAGTCATGGTTCGTTTGCTTTGTTTTTGCAGTGTCTTTTTTCTGTCGTCGTGCTGGGAAAAGGGGTGTGTTTCAATTTGGTGAGAAGAGTGCCTCTTTCGCGTTTCAGGCGCTGAAAATTTCGCTGCGGGAAACCTCGGTTCCATGATGATAACACGGCCAGAGCTAAGTGGTTCCCGCAGCGGAGGAAATGCTTCGGGCGGCGACGAAGCAATGTGTTTTATCTAGTGGCCACCCCCTCGAAAACCCGTCTTTTCATCAAGTGGTGCTGCTGCAATGTATCGCTTCTCAGTTTTTCAGAAATTAATAATAAGGTCTTTATTCCCTTTTTTAACCATTTACCCATGTTACGCATTTTTCAACGTTGTGAGAATTTCATGCGATACCCTGACGTATTGTTACCCATTGTGTCGATTTAGCCCTTCTTTAGCTCTGTAAAACCTTCTCTTTCAAAGACTTCTTGTCTTGCAATTTTCTCCACCGCTGTGTGTTGGGGAGAAGTTGAGTTGCTGTGTCGAAAATTTTGCGTCTACCTCAAAGGCAGAATCATCTGGCTTTGTGCACTTTACTTTGGTTGAATTGGTTTACGATTGAATACTCACTCTCTGCGACTTTCGCAAATCCCATTAGTAGCGTAATGATCAAATTTGTGAGCAGTTGAATTCTAACGCAAGAGTCACTTTGTATTACGTTTGTAAGTGGGCACATTGAAATTTGCGAAGCTTACTCGAAATGAATCGAGAGTAAAAGTCCTTAACGTTTGAGTACGGCTAAATGGAACTCTGTTGCAGATGGAGGGCAAGATATTGCTGTGGGCATGGTTCCAACAGTTCTCAGAAGAGCTGCCGCTTCAAGATGTTTCTACTCCAAATGTCAAAAAAGCTTACGAAGAACTGCTAAAGCATCTGGACGAATTGGCCGAAAGGCGTGCTAAAGAGATGGAGAACGAAGAACCGATCCCGGTAAGTTTACTCCAGGTTCTGTAGCAACTCCTCTCCTCCCACTCCTTATAAATCTGGGAAATATGTGTATGACACTTTTAGTTAGAGACTTCCTAACTGCATTTCAGATCAGCGATGAAGAAAACGCGCTCACCAAAATGGCCATAGCTTATCTATCACCAGTAAATGGATCTCGGGTGGATTTGAAATCTACTCTTGGTGGTTTGATCTCTGATTGCATGGAAAGTGTCAAAAAAGCGATGAATCCACGCGCTCTTGGAGGTGAGGGTTTTATACTGCTGAACAAATTCATTTCTTCTGGTAAGCACTTTTTTAGGTGAAAAAGCTTGGTCGGAAGTTTACATGGTAAGCAATCGTTCACACATGCTGAATGGAATAACAATGTCCGCATTGTCGTACAAGGACGATCTGTCGATTGTCCGTGGTGTGTGCGATTTATTGCGTCACGAGCTTCCTTTGGTGAGTATACAGTGCCTTTCTTGGGTATCCCTCAAATTCGAGTCAGATTTTAATTGATTCTTGGTGCAATTGAGATTTTGGTGTATTGAGTTAGGGGCTGGTCAACTCATAGGGGCATATGCATTGATTCGGTTAATAGCGTTGTGTCTGCGCCTCATTTTTTCATGTTTCCACTCCGCCTTTATTGATGTTAGAGGCCCTTGATGTGAACAATCTGAATAAGTTTTCTACAGATTCGAGAGGTTCGCCAGGAGCTCGCTGAGATAAGAGCAGCAGAAAAACCATGGATTGTTGTGTATCGCGGCATCATCGAAGACATTATGAAATTTTTCCAAGTTATGACTCTGTTTGAGATATGATTACATAGCCCTTATGGAATAAATAGACATTTTCTAAAGAATTCTATGACTGATCACTACTTTTTGCTGTTAGTATTGTGTCATTAGTGTTGCCCTCAGCGATAATGGAATTCTTCAACACTACCAAATACGGCTGATCCTGTGCATTATTTTGAGGTCAGAAGAGCTTTAGTCAATTGTTCTCATTATTGATGATTTTACGGTTCCGATTATATCCAAATTCGGTTTTTTTTTTTGCTGGCTGGTGTACATCATTTTTTCGTAGCTGTTACGAGGTTTTGGATGTTTATTACAGTGTTCTATATGTTAAGTAGGATGAATCTTCATTTTTTTTCTCGTCCCTCATATCACTCTACCTGCAGAAGTGTATTTCTAATGTTACTTCATGCTGATTCGCTTTTGGCGTTAACATTTGTCGAACTTTTACCGGTCAGCATAGCTCATATTTGATTAGTTTGCGGGGTGTGAGACTGCATGGTCATAATAAAGTTTTATAATAAAATGCTATGTTATACGACGCTTAGTTCGCGAATTGTACGGTTACTTTTCTGTATATTTGTTCTATCTGCTAATGGATCATCGGGGGGGGGGGGGGTGGTTTTTATTTTCCGGAAGTAGAAGTAGCTTATGGGAGTAAGAAAAGGACTTTCGTCGCTCACCATATCAGATCTTTGCCTTTCAGTTAATTAGGAAGATAATGGGCTGGGCGGCTTAGTGAAGGAGGGAGGGCAGACGCTGGCTCGATTACCGGGTAACGCTGGGTGCGTGGGGTAGAGTGATTGTAAAACAGCGACTACCAGGAGACTAGGATCCGGTCTGGTCATTGCGATAAGGAATATATATTGTTCGGGGAGGACACTTAGCTCAGAACTTGCTTTCCGTACCTGCCTATTGGTGCTTTGAATGGAATTTAGATGCTTGATTTTTCTAGTCACTTGTTGTGGGTTGCACCCTTTCGAGGGGGATGGTCCTTATCCTAATCGCGCAAAGACTTTCAGGCAGATTCTGTGGGCAAGTATTAAGCAAAGCAGTGCAGTGGTGATGTCAGAACTTTTTCTCGTCGTTTGCCGAAAAGAGCAAAAAAAACTGATGATTAGCCGCCAAGCGTCCTAAGCCAAACCTTTCCCTTTTATTAGACTCCTTGCGAGAACCGTTTAGCAGTATGGGCACAGTGGAATGGAGGCTGCAATGTTCAGTCAAAGCGAGGTTGCAACTTCGTACTACTTCATCCGTATGGCCGGTAGCGCGGCGCGGTGCGTTCGTGTGGTGAGGTCTGTTTTTTGCCTACGACTGCACTATGTCTTCATGATATGTTTTAGTCACTGATTGGTTACTTTCAGCGCAAATAGATTTGGTCGGGGTGGGTGGGGTGCTCGTTCGCTGGTGTATCAATGTAGGCGAGAAGCGCGCTCTGATGTATGCGAGCAATTGTACTCACCACCTTGTTCTCTGCCGCAAATGGCTAGAGTGCAGACGTTCGAGGAGCAACGTGTTTCTCCGCTCGGACGCTGTGAAGTAGCCACAAATTTTCTATAGGCTAGCGCGCGGGGAAGCTGCAATACATTTCACTATGGTATTCACCTTTATGTTTTTCTCGTTGATGAATGGTTCCCTGCTGTCATTTCCTCGCGATTTTTACTGTAGATTCATTTTCACTCTCTTGTCTATTGCCACCGATAGGAGCGTCTGGAGTTGTCGAAGGGTTAAGCTTGGGGGGGGGGCCTAACCGATTACCCAAAAGTTACGCCGGGTGGAGGGCGTTAAGTGGTTGTTGTTCGGGGTTCCTCTACCGAATCGATTCCTTTTGCGTTTTTTTTGATTTTGTATTCTCAGTACACTCATGGGAGATTACCCAATACAAGTGAGAACAAGACACAACAAGACATGAAAAAGGTTCGATTTTCATAGTTTCTTAAACATGCCTGTAATAATTTCATTTGGACTACGATAGGCAACAGGGAATAGCTGCACATTTAATTTCTTAGCAGGATCTCTTCGCGCGCTTAGACCAGGGGCGCTATGACAGGGGTGGGAGAGGGAGGGCGTAAGCGTTAAGCGAGTGTCATGGAATTGTCCGGACAAAAGGATCGTATTATGTCCGTGGGCCGTAGGAGCAGGATCAGCATGATCATATTGATCTAGAGCGCGGTAGCATGTCGGAAATGCATGGAAACGCGAGCGCGCCTGATGTCGAAGTGCATGGGCAGGTCCTGAGCAATTTCGACGATCACACGGCTTCAACTATTGTTCCCTATGCAGATATGAGTAGGGAAGACATCAAGAGGATTCCGAAAGAATTGTTCCAGCAAAATTTCCCATTCATCTCAGAGTTTCTCGACGCCTCGCTTAATCGGGGGTGAGGGCAGCCAGTCGACGGCGCGCATTGTTTGTGTTGGTGGCCTCTTGTCGAGGTACTATAAACTTGCACATTCCAACTTGTCACGCACATTAATTAACTTGCCTCCTTCACCCTCCCTCCCACCTCCCTAAATTGGTCTCATTCCTTTGCGCTCGAATATTCTTCGTTTCGCACAAATATTATCGCTATCCTGACGAGAGAGAGTGCAAAGGGCAAATAATAGAAAAGGGCTGCTGCCGAATATCCTATGACTATTGAAATTTGTCCTCATATTTTTTTGCTTAATCTGTACGACATGTATATATTGCTGCAATAACGGAGGTGGGGGGGGGGGGGAGCATTTTGTTACGGAGTATTCTGGCAGTTAAAACCACAGCAGGCACTCTTTATTATAAACGTTATAAAAAACTAACCAAAGCAATGAAGGGAAGCAGTTGTGAACTAAAGGATAAGGATATTCGGAGGGAAAGAAACCTTGGGGTGGTTGAACAATCATCTTTTGAGCAGACAAGGCAGGCTACTTAAACCGCCGTGAGCGCTTGGGTACCCCCCAGGAGGCCCATCGCGCGGCAAGAAGGCCGAGTCGGCGGACGAGTCGCGGCGCGTGATGTGCGATGAAGGACGTGCAATGGGACATTCTATTTAACTTGACGCGATTTCCCTAATACGCGCGCAACTCGTCCGCTGAATCGGCATTTTGCCGCGCGACGGGCCTCCTGGGGGGTACCCGAGCTCCTTCACCCTCCAAAAATCCTTTCACCTGGCTCACAATTGCTTTCTCGCGCAGTCTAACATCAAGGCTTTACATCATACAAAAGCACGGAAGTGACGTAGAAATGAAGTCATCTACAGTTTGTTCACTTTAAGTTTTGAGTTCCTGACTAGCCATAAGTGTGTGTGGATTAGAACTTGCTGTGAACTGGAAAGAGTCTGGCATTGCTAAGGAGGATTAGCTGGCTTGAGAAAATCCATAACAAGCGAATGACTTATTATTGTTAATACTAAGTGAACTTTAACCGCCTCTGCGCTCTCTCGCCTCCATGGTGAACAATGCGCTACAAAGCTGAACTAGTCAAACAAGGTCGCGAAATCGCATTGGTTCCCCTTTGATCTTTCGGCGTATTTCAAATGAGGTGGCATTTGTTGCGTGATTCATTCACGGCTTTCATAATGTTGATGTCCATCATCACTTTGGCACTCGTCCACTGGGCAACCCTTTCGAGGTTGGTGCTGTTCACATAGTTTGCACATCGGGATACACATATGTTCATGCATGTTTACATATTTCAATTTGCTTTGCAACCTTTGTGAGAGGAGCAAACAATAGTCGGATGGTAGTGATTTCGAATTCTTAGCATTTCTTTTGATCCACAATAGTTTGCGGATTTGCTAGACCAATAGATTGCTTTGTTCCGGGACCTATGGCGTCTATTCACATGATCTGTGAAAAACACGTTTCAGTTTTTCTGCCTTTTCTTTCTGCTCTTCAATTTAGCAATTTCTAGATGTCTACTAGTCAGCTCCTTTAGAATAAGCAGAAATAGAAGAGCCTAACCGCACTGCATTTGTTTGCGATTCCCTTAACATGCTCAATGTCTTGCTTCACAGCCTACGTCGGTTATAAAAAAAAGCAAAATCTGCCAGTGTATGATTCCAACTACTACCCAGTTTGAACTAATCTCTGCAGCGGTGTGATAGCGACGAGTTTTCATTTTACATAGTTCTGAAAGGGGTGGTGTTGCCATGGTAGCACGTAGCTCATCCTTGTATAGATAGAACGCTGATGAGTAGAGAAGCTGGTAGATGAGATGGCTAGAATTAGGCATGCATAGTTGCTTGGTCACAGATGTGGCAGCTTGCCTCGTCTCGGGTGTTGCTGAGAACGATGGGCTGTATGGGTTGTGCGGCTTCATCGTCGACACGTACGAAAGCGCCACTAGTGGATTCTTCCCCCGATCTGAGAACACGCACAATTCGAACTGCATCGAGCAACAGCAGCAACAATATGTTCCGACAACAACAGCATCAATTTTCGAGGTGGGTAGGTTGTAGGAATGGCTGTGCTTAGAAGATTCTTTTTGAGAAGTCTTGAATCCTTGTAAATTAATATAGCTTTTTTATAGTTAGCTTTTGTTTTTTGATGCTGTCTCGTTCATTTTTTTACATTATTACTAGACCCCGAGGCGTGATAGCAACGAATGACCAAACGTGATTTAGTCACCCAAACCGAACTTCACGTGCTACTCTTGCAACAAAAATATATTGGGTTTTTCTGTATGTGGTAAAGAATGTTTACGGCGTGATCGATCCGTATTCAAACGATCACCATCACTGAGTTTCTCCTCCTAAGTAAGTTTCGCACTGTTGTAGAGCACTATCCATGATTTTCTTACATCTAAGTTCTCTAGCAGCCAAGCAATTCCAAACATACGTGTTTACTGGTGCGAATTATAAGAGTCTTCACCCAGTCGAATTCATGCCAGTGAATTAGCTTTGCCTTCTCTGAGAACGAGTCAATTAAATTATACGTATTGGGCGATGACCAATCTTTCTTCAAGATGTAACAAGCACTCAACTCCATTCGGAGTCGTAATAGCGTTTTAATGCGTAATTGGCATACACGATGACTTCTAGGAGCCACCCGAGGTAGAGGCGGGCTGAAGATAGTTGAAGTCACGATAGGAGCCTATGTCGCGAATCCGTTCGTGCTAATGGTTACATCGAGAAATCGAATTCGGTTCCGAGTAAATGACTCTTTCTGTATGGGCCAACTTTCATTAATACGCCAAATCGGAACAGTATCGCATAAGTGCTGCTCCCAAAATGAGAGACCTCTTCTTTTTAGCAAGTGTTGCTTATGTTTTAGTCGCTTTCAAAGGTGTGTTTCATCTCGCTTCTGTTCCTAGATTGGGAAATATGGATAGTGGAGTAAGTAAGTAGTGGAAAAAAAACTTGAAAATGATTTCATTTCTGACGCCAGCGACAAATCTGCCTCATACTGGCCATTGCTTTAAGACTAAAATCCAGAAGTTCAGCGAATCTCAAAAACGTTGGAGACCTTTTGGCAGCATCTCTTTTGGTCTTTCTTTTTCTCTTTCCGCCTATCTCTATCGTTATATGAGGGTAGATAAGGAAATAATCAAGATTTATTCATTGGTTTATTTGTTTGTTTATTACTATGCATTGTAGGTGCGCTACAATTTTCGCCTAAGACCAAATTGGGTATAAATTAGAATATGATTTGAAATGAACCCAATTGACCAGCATTTACCCAGAAGTGGGAAGCTCTCAGACACCAATTATTCGAAATCGTTGATACCTATTAAGGACAAATAAATCAGCCCTCTTTAATTTCCTTCTGATGATGTTCTAGCTATTCCTTCCATGGTCTTACGAATATGTTCAAACTTCGACACCATTTGTTGCAATATTGTTCCACTCCGAGTATGAGCGTTGATTTCTCATTGATCAACAATTTCCTATCTGTTTTTATCTATCTGAGTTATTCTAGCACTGAAGTTTCTTATCATATCTTCATGCTGCATGTCATTGATATCTCAGGGTCGGTATGATACTCATTTTATTCTATCAGTCATGTGGTTACTGTGCGGGATGTGTTTCCGTGATTCGAAGTAGGTTTTAGTTTTCATTGTAGTAAATTCAGCAAGCTCACCTACATGTGCTGGCCAAAGCACTTCAGGTTCGATTTCAGTTAGCTGGATTTGAATAGACATAGAGGGTGTAAAAATGGAAGTTTAAGTGTGCGGAATTACAGGTTTCGTTCTTCTCGTGAGCAACAGGGGCGCTTGTGTTGCTGACGCTGGGTATGCAAAGAGCCCAAACACCCAGACCCACCGCGCCTAGTTCCCACTCGTTCCCTCCCCTCGGACTAAGCTTTAGGGGGATTACGTGAGGGCGTATATGGGCAGTTTCCATTTTTCTCGAAGTTAATCGACTTCTAGGTCCATTCCGCTTGGATGCTCCC